AACTCATGCTCGTCCCACATTGCCTTATTTATTAACGTTCTACAGTCCAAATTGTATTTATTTGGTTTTCCATAAATACCTAACCTATGGGTAATAAGGCCTATAAAATTTTATAGTAGGCCTTAATATACTTATAGATATATATTCTTCAACGTTTGCATTATTTTCAAATTATTTCAATAGGTATATCATACATTATTCACATTTCCTACGTTCACGATGCTACCTAAGTGAGAATTGTGATCAAAAGATGACTAATTTATGGCATTTCCTCTAAAGACATCGTCTTCCACTTGCACGACTAGAAAAAGAAAAAGAACAATAATATCTGGGTTTCATGAAAGCATAAGGCTATTAATTTTCGGGGTACTCCAGTGAACAAAGATCGTTTTGATAAATTTAATGAATGTAAGAAAAGCAATGCAGGGAATAAAAATACAAATTCAGAAGAAGAAGAAAACCAAGGATTTAGGAAATTGTAACCTTCAAACACCTTTAAGAGCAATTAAAACAAAGTCTTTTCGCGGATCTGATCGAATCAAGGACACTGAAGGCACTCAAGCGAGTTGGTTCTGCCATGCCTATGACAAAAACATACGGTTTTCTTCATGACACCCTATGTTTGCTTTACATTCACAGTACACAGTATGGATGACATAAGGCAGTGCTCTCAATGCCCCAAGTGGTATCATAAGGAGTGTGTTGGTTTATCAGTGGATGATTATGATGACTTCGTATGCCGTGGTGGATGTTAGATGAGGCTACTCATTTAATTCTAAAGTATTATTCTGCCATTGATTGGATGAAGATTGATATCAAATACCAAATTATGTTATTTTAGTTGATTAATTGCATAGTTAAAGAAGCAGGCCTTGTTACCCTACGAATTATAATAAGGCCTATTAAGAGCGTTTAAAAAAATGTTAAATATTGTTTAGGTTTCATGCAGAAGTTGCTATTTTTTTGTTATAGTTTTGTAGTTGCCTAAATAAACGACTGATTACCGAATAAAACTTGTTGATTCTATTACCAGTTTTGATTTTACAACAAATTTCCCTTAGCTAGGCCTTAATACCCTCATGTACCTTACTTCAGACCGCTATTTTCCACATATTGTGCTGCATAAAATAGTCAAGTAAACAGTATGTATGTATGTTTGCGTGTGTTTGGTACGTAGTTTCGATTCTAAGAACCCATATTTACCAGGCAAACATAATTACAAAAGATATTCAAATTAAGTTGGACTTATATTAGGGCGGGCAAGGGGACTTAAATATACTGCTTGTAGGGCAAAATCATTATTTAGAACTTGAAAGGTTTTAATTAAGTAACAAGTTTTTTATTTTGATTTTCTTTTTAACGTTAGTGCGAAACAACATTTTAATTAATTAAGGTGAAAAATATAAATCTTTAGAATTAAAATTGTAAAATAAAAGGTTTTACTATTTGTTATAAATATTGGACTGTTTTGTTTTTAATATGTAACGCGGAGTTGACTACTTTATATACTATATTGATTGTACGTACCAGGAGACCACACGTGCAAGAAGTTTTTATTTTATTTCTAAACAGCAGTAGTTAGAAGTGTATCATAGCTTGAACAACAGGCATTAAAGCAACAAAACCTCGCTAAGATACATAATACAGTCAGGTGAGTATTATTGTTGAAATATAAATGATCCAAGTTGGAAACGGTTTCCACAACTTGTGTAAGCAGATTCACGAAACAACAACACAAAACAAACAAATTGTCAATCTTTATCCTCAAACAAAATACAAAACTTGTGTTCCGTTGCTTTTAAGTTAAAACAAAAGACCGCCGAATTACAAACAAAGAATTTGAAACTTTTATTTCATTACATTACACAAAAAGGTGTTTCACCTACTTCCCTCCCCCCTCCCCTACCGTATGGTCCTAACGTTTCTCCCGAAACTTGAGCCAAACATTGAACGCTAAAGAAACGAACTTTATTAATCAAACTTAACTAATACAGATTTAATGTTACTGCCGCCCTGGTAGGGTCAGTCAGGCCTCTAGGGTTTAATCACTAGATTAAACTCAGTTTAATTGTGTGAGCGTCGTTGGGGTCCTAGAACAGCTGTTATGGTGATGTTCTTGGGTTTAGAGTATACAACCTCGTGCAAATGTCTGTAAAGCACGCGAGCGTGTGAATTTGTTAAAGGGGAAATCGTCGGATAGTTGAAGACTTTATAGGGAGGAGTTTGTTTGTAACATTTTTGTGTTAGATATTACAGAGCTTGTGGAAATAAGAGAAGATCCGGACTCCTCCTCGGTGAACCAAAAAACACATCTACACTAATATTATAAAGAGGTAAAATTTGTAAGTTTGTAATTTTGTATGTAGGGTAGGGTAATCTTTGGAACCGCTGGTCGAATTGCAAAAATTCTTTTACTGATAGGTAGCTACAATGTTCCTGAGTGCTATATGCTATAAAACATCACGCTACGATCAAATGGAGTAGAGCAGCGGGTGAAACTGCGCGAGAATAGCTAGAATTATTCGGAAGCAATAGAACTTAAGAATGTGAAAAAATACTGTTACAATTTTTAGGTTAAAAAAGTAGCATAGTGTGTAAGCGCCCCACAGATTTCTCTCGCTTGGCTGTGCAAATAAATAAAAACCAAACAAAAAATGTTTAATTAGTCCCAAATGTTAAGAAAATTTATTTTCAAAGTGCGATGCTTGTTGACCTGGAAAACAGAGACTTGTAGTGTGTTAGGGGCTGTTTACATGGCGACGTTTTGTTTCAGACTTTTGCGTTATTATACGAATGTGAATATTAATCAAATATAATATTAATAAAATAATAATAATCCGATTTAGCTCTGAGCACTTTCCACCTTTGTTGAGACATTATCGGTTTTTGTATGATGACAATCTCATTTTTTATGGTGTAGGTCGGCAAACGTGCAAACGGATTACCTGGAGGTAATCAATGAGCGCCACACCAAAGGACCTAACGAGTGCGTTATCGACGTTCTGGGGATTAGGGATTTGGAGATTTTGGGATTCGGGTACTTAAGAATTAGGAAGGGATGGGACGAAGGGGGGGGGGGATGGTCTGGGCCTCCGGTAACCCCAATCACACGGCGAAACCCCGTGCCTATATCACGCCGAGTTTCTGTGCCGTGGTATCACCCCGGTCGAGCCGACCCATTCATGCCGAAGCTTGGCTCTCCCACACTTAACACGTTAATTCGTTACAAGTTATGAGATTTAAAAAAAAACATTATTATCAATTACCAGTGACTGTTTAAAATGTTGCAATATAAAAACCTCCTTAATCGAGTAGCCAGAAGGGCGGAAGTAATATCCTTATTCTATAAAAACATTTCAGCATCAGGGCCCGACGCTTCTCACTTAATTATTTAATGTTTTTAAAGCTAATTTAACCTCATTCCAATTATTTGATCGCTTAGTCACTGACCGTGGCTTTGGCTCTACTATCAGAGAGATAATTTTGATTTCATGCGTTACTAATGGTCATGATCTATTTCATATAAATTTCCATCCAAAGCAGAGCATCAATTTCAGAGAAATTAAGACAAAACCGTCAAAATTTGATTCGTATTCGGTTAAGACTAACGCACTGTGATTTAGCTAACTGCTTAACTCCTAAGACACACAATAGTAACATTATTTAAATAAAATGTTTCAATAATATTGTTATATTTGAATATATTATTATAATACATAATTATTTAAACCAATCAACGATTACAAATAAGGGATACTTAATAAATTATTGCTGTCGGAATTCGCCAACAATATTAATAATTACCAAGCGATCAGCTTCCAGAGGAGTAAATTTAATGTAATTGACCGTCATATCCTGAGAGAACAGGCAGCGGCAGTGGCTACTGAATATCGGTCAGCCATTAATTGGCATAACGGACGGGAGCGGCTGACAAGCGATGGCCAATCACAACGTAACCGCGTTACGTTACACCCGACTTCATTGCTATTGATCTAAGGGAGGGCAATAGCCTCTTCTTGTTTAGAGAAGATACGCCCTAGAGACTGTAGAGACTACAAAAGTTGGGGTCGAATGCCGTTCTTGATTTTTTTCTTTGATTTTTATTATTTTGTTGATATCCACGTGAAAATTATCGACAAATCGAAGTAAATTAAAAATAATATAAGTAATTAAGTACATATAAATATTTCTTCTATTGCAAAAAACTGAAATGTTTATTAAATAACATACGTGTAGGTACAACAGTATTTTAACAATGGTAGAGTTAATGTGTAATTGATAGTTAAATATAACCTCCTATGACTAGTACTATCTTAGCCTGTAGCCTCACGATTAAAGCTCTGTGCAAGCCAACACATTAAATAAATCTCTATTGACAGTTGAAATAATGTGAAACAAAGTAATAAATTTTTAATTGGTTAATTATACAGCGTGTTTGTTCTAAACTGTATTGACAGAACCAACTCTTTGGCTATGTATTAAAGTTGTTTTGAGGCTGTAGTCAATTGGAATCCGAGTTAGCATCTAAACCAGCTATCTGTACCCAACGTGGATACCTGTTAATGTAATCAGATTATGCCTAGACGACCAAACGATGCGTCCTCCCGGTGTATACAGACACATTTATACCTCAGTGCAAAATTCTAGACCTCAGTGAATCAGCGCCCGCCGTATATGACACATAAGTCACAAAAGATACGCATCTCGCAAACTAAAATACACCTTATGAACCCCAACAATAAGCAGTTATTTAAACACACTAGTTTCAATCTTCTAAATAACTAAAATGGTCTGAATCAAGACGAAGAAGGTCAGAATTGCGACGGAAATTAGACGAATAGGTCTTTATTGCCAGTGTGAAGAGTACATAGGTATATGCAGACGCGTTGCATAGGGGGTTGAAACAACCCTCCGACATCCCAAAACCGTTCAGTCTTCGCCAGTCCGTTGGGCCAGACGGACGATTCGCGCGCGCTCGCACGCTTTCCGAACTTTCCATTCCATCTTTAAAATACTGTGTTTTTTACTTTTACTTTTTTATTCGGTGGACGATTGGCAGCGGTGCAAGGTAAGTGCAATTTAATATTCATAATTCACCATGGAGGTTTGTTTTAAGAACAATTAAACGATTTCTTTTTTCATGTTTTACGATTAAACTTCGGTAGTTAATCCGTCGGTTTTCAGCCGGGAGGGCTTATTAAAAAAGTTGAAGTTTAGGCGTTGTATTTAAAAGTCATTGGAGGGTATTTAAACACTGTGGGCGGGGATTTGTTAATTTAGTGGTTTGGTTATATTATTACGGTTTTTTGGGGCAGTAATTTACTTTGCTTCATTTTTGGTATTTGAACGGTAAGAAGATTTTTTATTTGAATTTCGAAATTAACGTGACGTTATTAAGTAAAACACAACAAGTATGTATGCTTTTATGTGTTAGTAATAAATAATGTATGTTCTAAATTAGAACATTGAAATGTCACCACGTGTGTGTTTTAAAAAACGAACGTTCGATTTTTGTGTTATTTTTCTTATTCGGACTCAACTGAGTTAAAATTTTCGAACTTTTTTTATACGCACAGTGCGATGCTTCGAGGAACCAGACAAAAGCTCTTGTGGGACAATCACGTATTAATCGTTGCACTGTTATCCCTACGACCAGGTTCAACTACAAGCAGGAATTCAACCCAAGACCTCGTACTTATTAGCACAAATGTTACAACTTTCCGACCACTGCTACAGTATAACATAAAATTACGTCTTCAAACCTCAAATACATAGCCTGTCAAAATCATAATCCCTCCTTTTGCTTTGCTTAGTCGGGTAAAAAGATAAGCGTTGCACATGAACAATTAATTAACTCCCAATTTTCATAATATAACTAATAGAAAGTGGGTAACAATACTCTCGTAAAAATCTCTCTAAATTTTTTCACTACTTATTGGATGTCATTCTATATAAATTCCTATTCAAGCACTTTATCTATTAAAAAACCGCATCAAAATCCGTTGCGTAGTTTTAAAGATTTAAGCGTACATAGGGATATAAGGACATAGAAAGCGACTTTGTTTTATGCTTTGTTATGTGAACGTTTGTGAGTATAGATAGATGAATGGATGGTTGGATGTTTCTAACTCTTACATGTAAAGCCTAATGAGCAGATCCCAAATTTGGTACGGAGATATTTTATAGTTTGGAATCACTGCACAGTATAAAACAACGCTTTCTCTGTCCCTATATTCCTGTGTATGCTCAAATCTTTAAACGGATTTCGTGAGGTTTTTTTTATAGATAGAGTGAATAAAAAAGAAGGTTTATATTTCTCCACTATTCAATGAATTTTATGTATAATAATTAGTAACATATGAATTTTAGTATCGACGCTGGGGCGGGACGCTAGTAACATATAGACATATAGACTAATTTTCATTTTAGTACTACGAGCGGAGCCGCTGACAGAAACTAGTAATTTAATAAGGGTAAAACCCCTTTGTAGGATTGTGTGTTATCATATCCTGAAATACTATTAATAGATAAGGATTACAGTCCTTAACGACTCTTATAAGTATTATTTATTACTTTAATAATACTGAAATTATTGTGGCACTTGTGTCTAGATGGCTACTAGGGAAACATGGTACAAAGGATACTGTTAAATATTAATGCATTTGTGTCTTTTATTCTCGGATGGGGTCAGTAGGAAATGGACATATGGAATGCCACTTTCCCATTTTTTTTCTGTTTTATGTATGTATGCGTTCCATTCTTGAACTTATAAAATAATATTTATGATAGAGATAGTTAGGAGACTTTTTTGGTGCTTCGTAACAGAATCATCAAATGACGATATTAAGGAGTGATTTGTATAGTTATTAGATACATTATATTTAGAAAGGATTTTGAACTTGACTAAGTTTTGACATTGTTCCTTTTAACTACGTTCGTTTACGCATTTAATAAAATATGATAATTATGTTAGTTTTCAACTGATTCTTTGGTCGAAAAAATAGTCTTGGGTTCGATACTGGGGGCCGGTGAAGTGTTCGGAGGTTCATTTTCTCCGAATTTTCAGTAATTGCATGGTGTCTGCAATTGTGCCCGGTAGCAATAAGCTTACCCTAAGTTACCAGGGTCTCATAAGATTACTGATGAAAATTTGGAATATTGACCACAATAAGCAACTTTGCGTTTTCCTTTGGGGTTAAAAAACATTGAGCATATCAAGCAAAAAAAAAAGTTTTTTTCAAATAACACAGTCATCTGTAATACGTTTCAAAATACTATTCTATTTTCAAATTCGCACCTGTCAAAAACTGTCAACCTAGTATATAGCAAGGTCGGAGGATCCTCTGGACGATCACTTCTAGCATATATATGTATCTTTATCTATTTTTATATATAAAGAATTTAAGCATCCGATCGTATTCGAGTAGGGCCAACAAAAAAATTTAATCATCAATTCAGTTTAACTTAATTTTAGGCGACTCAAGCTTATTATCTTAATTTAAATTATTATTAACATGAAACCTTAGGTATTACCTTAATAATTTAAATAAAATAAGTATTTCAGTTATTTAAATATTATGTTCAATGGCTTTAACAAATTTTCGGAAATAAAAAGAAATTTATATATTGAATTACTTAAAGGCCAGTTGTTTACTTCGAACCCGCATCTCCGAGCTTGAGTAGCGAGCCCCTGAACCGAGTTAATCCCCCTTCATACTAATTAGCTTTCTCTTGTAACTTTAATAAGATTATAATTATCAAGTTAACTAACCAAACCCTTTCTGTAATAAATTATTGGTAAATAAGATTCTCAAGGCCCTTATTAATCTATACATATGTATATAGGTATTTATATATATATTATGTATAAAAATCAATGCCACTTTTCGTTCTAATGTTATAACTAACAATGCTTTTACCGATTTGCCTAATATTGGTCTTGAATTATTTGTGAAAGTCTAGAAAATGTTTGCAAGTAGAGAAAATTAAAAAAAAAACTGAAAATGTGTAAAATTGACATCCATCCAGTGGGCGACTGCTAGTAACTTCATATTAATACTTGTGTTCATTAAAAAAAATAGTTTTTTGTAATAATATTAAGTTTAGATTTCCTCTTGTACTATGCCTTTGTCATACAAAATTACGTTCTATTTTCAAATTTATGTGGTACATAGTGGCCATTAAGAAAAGAAGAAAATCATGTATAACAAAAAAGTGGTTGTGTCAAAAAAACCATCCTGATTTATTTTCTTTTAACACAGATCGAAAACACACGGAAGGTAAACAGTGATCACGAATCTCCTTCAGTCTATCCCGTTTGGTAAACTTAGTGATTTTGGTAAAATTTATGCTAAAGCAGACCATTGATCAGATAGCGATGATTTTGTTTTCTCCTATCCTAATCATTTTAATACAATAGAATACTTTAAGAACTTTTTCATATAATAGAGATACAATATACATATTTTTAGTATAGATCGGGGCGATCCACGGCTTCACAGAAAACTTGAGTGTAACAACGCTTGCTTGCATTTCGCTACTGGAGGCCGAGGCCTTTCCCACCATCTCCAAATCGCAATTCCCTTAAAATCCCACAAAACAATGACAACGCACTTCTTGCTGGTTGGTGCCGATTGCTTACCGTCAGACATGTCTACCTATTTGCCACCCTATCACCCGAAAAAAATTCTTTTTATTGTCGTTCTAGGAGCTCGACTTCAAACTTCGTCTCTGAAAGGAGTCGTAAATTAAATAATTTAGCCTTCTACCCCTAAAATCAATCAAGTAAGGTAGGAATTGATTTAATATTCTATTTGACCTACGAATAACTTATCCTATGAGAGCCATTTGGTACAAACGAGAAGAAACGTGATTGAGTCGTAAAAAAGTTTTTCTTACGTTTAGTTATGTACATATAATATATATAACGTCGTGATGGCCCAGAGGCTTCTCATGTTTGGGTGCAGAATCGAAACCTGGCAAACACCAATGTGACTTTTTATAAGTTATATTTAAGATACTTTCTATTATTATTTAGACACCATTTGACATTCGGTGAAGGAAAACATCGTGACGTAACCTGGACTTATATATTTTTTTCTTTTTTTATGTGATGGTTCGACAAACGAGCAGACGTTTTACCTGATGGTAAGCAATCAGCGCCGCCCGTTGACATCCGCAACAACAGAGGAGTTACGAGTGCGTTGCCGACCTTTTGGCGGTTAGGAGTTTGGGAGATCTAGGGATTGGGGAGGGATTTGGGGAGGGGAAGGATTGGGTCTCGGTAACCTCACTCACACGGCGAAATACAACGCTGTGGTTGTTTCACGCCGGTTTTCTGTGAGGCCGTGGTATAACTCCGGTCGAGCCGACCTATTTGTGCTGAACCGTGGCTCTCCCACACTTAAAATACATATTTTCTAATTATAAGTTTGAAATCACCAATCCGGCTTGAGCAAGCCTGGAGATCAATGCTCAGAACCTTCCGCTTGTTCAGCAGTTAGCACTTATAGGCTGATGATGATAATGATGATGATGATAATGATGATGATGATGAGGTGCATATTATAAATTTATTATATAATTGTTATATTTGGAGTTTCAGTCAAGTTTATTTTGTATATTGATTTAAAAAATGAGGCATTTTTTCTTTTTATTACTGTTTTATCGACCAGTTTAAACATGAAATATAACATAGCTGAAAGTCTTTTAATCAATGAAATGGTAGGTCTATTGCACGTATAAAATGTAAGACCAAAAACGTTGGCCACCTCTTTACGAGCCACAGTAAAATGGTTGAACCTAAGGCCCGCATGCCTGGCACCTGGCACAAGCATAATTTCGTACAATACTTGTCTGGACAAATTTAGGAAAAATTGAAAATCTCCTGATATTACTAGTAGTTTCAGTATTTATTTAAGTAAATAGGTTTTGCATTATTTTAATGTCGGATTATTGTGTGTATTTTAACTTAGGGTAAAATAGAGCCCAGAAAAAAATGGTTAGTAAGTACAATAGCTAAAAGAGCAAGACATTTGCAACAAATTGTAATTTTATTATAGTTGCAGT